CGAACTTCGAGACGATTTCGTATTAGAAAGTAAATGTATTGGTTTCATGATGATATTTTTTCTCTAACTTCTCTCTAAAACTATTGGATAGCAGAAATACACTAAAACTTTCACCCATAGAACGCACATTAGGATCGCAAATAAAATAAAGATAAAATAAAGCTTAGGAGAGATCATGTTTCAATGTCTTCAACAGTCTCAAAGTATAAAAAAACTTACATCGACAACTGTTGAAATAATTAAAAAAAATGTCAGCAAACGCGACTTTAATTTATCTCCGCTAAAAACCGTTATTTTCAAGAGAATTGGTTTAGATTTTTATATCACAAAATTCAACTAAAAAGTATCGAGATATTTGTAGACCATCCTAAAACTAAACTCTTCAAAATTTTGATCAGTTTCTTCGATGTTGTTTAACTATTTTTGTTATAAATTATAATGAAATATTTTACTAAAGAAATAAATGTTTCTGTATAAGTCCGAATAATGTAATATTATAAAAGTATTAATAACTACGTATAGTTAACTATTGTAGTATTGTTCCTAGGTAAAATGTTGTTTATTTATCGCATTAAATATGGTCTTATATATTTAAAAGTAAAACTGGAAGTCTTACTCAATTATTTTTTAATTAAACTAAATCTCTTTACATTACTAATTCTGAAAAAGTTTTTTCTTTTGAAAAACAAAAAAAAGTGTTTCCGGCTTTACTTTTTATTTTGAATAAAAATTAATTTAACTTTTAAAACTAACTCTTTTCTTGGTTAAATAATGTACAAATTTTTGTCTTTTAAAAATCTATTTTATTTCATTAAAATATGTATAAAAACTCGTGAAATTTACTCAACCCTGAAATGTTTGACAAATTAATTTCGTAGAGTTATGCGGATAATGTAAATACCTAATGCAATACATAATAAATAAATCATTAAAGCAAAAAATGTCACTTAAATCTTAATGTACATTAAACTGGACGAGTTCCATTTAGTCAACCGGTATAATTTGTAGACGTAGTATAATATCGACAAGTGAGAATTTATACGAAAGGTATATTCTCAATCCAATATTTTTGTGGGTTCTGGCTACCAAATAGCAAGTAGCATATAAATCAAGTTCTATGTACCTACCTATATAAAAATACAATTATAATTATTGTAGTTCGAAATGACTATTAAAAGTATACTTCTAACTTCGATTAGAATAAAAAACTTAGAGGTAAACGACATACATTAGAAATGACTTTATTACTTATTTGTTTCTAAAAAACAAACACATACACAATATATATTACCTATCTTGTAATGTATATTATATAATATTGTACTATAAGAAAAAAACAGACATCAAAATTTCACAGTATCTACGCTCACAGGCGCATTTTTATTAGAAAAAAAAAACATATACTTCACATGCATTTTAATATTTCAAAAGTATTATTTTTTATATTTTACTTTATGAATGTGAATAAAAATGTATAAATAATATGTACTCTCCATCATATTATGCCCACATTTATATTATATGTGACGGTTTGCCCATATAATTGCACTTTACATTTTGGAAGTAGATAATTCTATACCTACATAATATTGTTACAAAATAAAATATATAATTTTATGGTAACTAAAAAGGTTCCTTTTTATCTTCAGCCATTTATTAAAACTCTTGAACCGTTTAGTACTTATCAAATGTTTACACAATTATTGTATACACGTCATAATATTATTACATCAACGAAAATAAGTAAAATAAACATAAAATTATGTGGAAATATGAAAATACCAAATAGTGCAATAAACGCCATAGACACATTATAATTTGTGTTAATTTTAACGCTGTACTAAATTTAGTTTTTAAAGAAAAAAATGTATTGCTTTCGATTTAAAATTTTTATAAATATTTTATTTTTTATACATATTTTAAAGTTCTAAGGATTAATACTTGTGTAGAATTAATCAAATTAAAAATAAATTACAGGATAGATACAATGTAAAAAGTATAAGAACATTAAAGATAACCTTTTCTTGACAATCATAATAATGTATAAACTATAAATAAAGAAAAATCAAGAAACAAGTTATAAAAACCATTTTATGGAGCAACAAACTAATAATAAAAAAATAAAAAAAAAAAAAACTGAAAAATATTAGTTCTAAAAATTTTATTTTGATATAATTAAAATAAAATAAATATTGCATATCTTTTTATGAACAAATTAAAATTATAAATACGACCTTTAAGACTATAAAATTTTTATACTACGGTTAGGTACGACCGGGTAAGAACTACGCTATTCATCGCACTTCATGAGATTCAGCATTAATTTTAAATGTGTTATAAAAAATACTCCACTAACCTGATTAAAAAAGTACGAATCAAATTTTAGTTTCTGAATAAACGGTACACCTGCAATATCGCGTCTATTATATCGGGATTATTTTCAAACTATAATTACGTTAAAATCGTTAAATACACAGCGTAAAGGCGATAAAGGTATTTAAATGTGTGGGAATCCGTTTTAGGAGTATATTCAATATTGACACGTTAAATTACTAATATTACTATACATAGCACACTTCGTATAATATTATATAATTATTTTTTTTATGTCATAGCCGTCAATTTTAAACAAGCTTGGCAATTAAACTAGAATTATTCTATTTAATAGGGTCATCCCGCACTTTTTTAGAAATCAAGGTTCTAGAACCAGAGTATTCACGGTATGTGATCAACCTGTATATAATGTATTATACAAAAGTTATTTTTTAGCAATAACGTATAGATAAACGGCCTACGCTTTTTTTCTAACAATAGAAAAGCGCTAATGGCCCATAAAAAAAGTAGTTTTATAACAATAGGGATGCACAAACGTCGGTCCTTTAGAACATAACCGTTTTGGCTATTCAAACTAATAGCTATGCTGAAATAGTGGAATACTGTATTTTGCTATCATTTTGTCTAAGATAAGTTCTGAATAGTATTTCAGACCATCAAAATATATACATTTTAGAGATCATATTGACTACAAAAATCATTGGCCGGATTGAGTGTTAAGTTTTATCTGATATGTCACTTAATGTACGAAACAACATTTTTATTTTTGAGGTCATCTTTCTCCTGATTTTATACGTTACAAAAAAATAAAAACGGTGTTTTTAAACTACGAGATATATTATATTATGTCTATTAATTTTTAAGTTCTCAACAAAAATAGATCTTGTATTGATCAAAGTAATATTTTTTCATATTTTATTCTTTAACATAATAGGTAGGTCAAAAAAAAAAGCATCAAGTTCAATTTAATCATACTTTTTAGCTTCGATGTTTTTGTTTCAGTTTTTTTTTTTTCAAATCCTATTATACTATAAAATAATACTTTGAAAATCTAAAGACTTGGTTAGTAGGTAACAATAATTTTTGTAAGTATGATTAATTTGAATAACTACTTGCATAATTTAGGTAGGTACCAGGTACCTACTTAAAATGGGAATCTTGAAAAAATTTTTAAAAACAATTTTCAATACAATATATATTTTTGATCTTATATTCTTATTTAAGTAGGTACCTACGAATTATTACCTATCGTAGACATCTCATAAGTTATGTTTATAATAAACTGAGTAATCCAATATTAAGTTTTTATTACCACACATTATTTTCTTAAGAAATATACAAATATAACTTTACATATAAACACAACAAATAAGAGTGATAATAGTGGTAATTAAAAAGAAGATAACTGCAATAGTGTGAAAAACATGATGTATAGGGGAGCATCCAGTGGAGCTATCTTTTTTGATTAACAGCAAAAAGAATGGGAAAGTTTGAGAAAATTAGAGGTCTCTACGCCATTTTCTTTTTAACCTTCTTGGTGGGTTGTTAGAAATGTGATTTTGAAGAACCTTTCTTTTATTATTGGGGTTGGTGTGAAACTAAATTTACTATGAAGCTTTTGGCAAGCAATTTTGATAAGCTAGTCAATAAAATTAATTTTAAAGTCAGTGTAGAGAGTTTCGTTAGTAATGTACCAAGGAGAATTTATAAGAGTGCGTAGGCAGAATGCTTGGATTTTTCAAACGCTGCTAAGAGCAGCACAACCCCATATTTGAATGCCGTAATATCATAGTGGGTTGAGAAAAACTTTGTACATGAGGATTTTGATATTTAGTTAGGAGCATATTAAAATGGGACGGAAACACAAAATAGATGTTGCCTGGAGTTAAATTGTTTACATTTTTCGGAAATATGGTCTTTCCAAGTCAATTGTTACCAAAAATGATACCTCAGTATTTTACTTGATCTGTTTAAGGTAGTGGAGTGTTATAAAGTTTGACTGCAAAACAATTATTTGAATAGAGAGTAAATGTGAGGTGGCTTGATTTGTCTAAGTCTAATTATTTGTCTTATTTTATAGTTTAGAACTGGTAATTGTGAGATTTGATTCTGATGTAAAGATACTTGGTCGTCGGCAAAAGTATTTAGTATAGTGAGAGAAAATTTAGGTATAACGGAAGTATAGATTAGGTAGTATAGAAGAGGTCACTACCTCGGGGAACTCCAACACGTATCATAAATTTGTTAGAGAATGATTTGTTTACATTCACTTGGAAAAAACGTTGATCAAGTAACTTCAGAAATAAATATGTAGTAAGGTGTTAGAAAGTTAATTTTAGCTTTTGGAATAATCCATCGTGCTAAATCTTATCAAACGCTTGAGCGACATCAAGGAAAATGCCTAGTATACTAGTATACTTATCTATAAGTTATAACCATTTATTTTTTAGAATATACTAAAATCGATCCTATAACATATAATTGTGAAAAATGTCATTAAATTATTTTGTAAGCAAACCCAGTTTATAATATGTATAATTAATAATATGATCATGATTCACAATGTTATTATTATTTTTTTAATTTTAACTTCTGTTGTTTTATCATTTATTTTATTAATAAATAATACATTTTTGATAGTACAAATTTTTTTTATCTTGTTACAGCGCAAAACATGGTTTTCTAAATTGTGTATATACTACAAGTAAAATGAAGTGTGGGATGGAAGAAGCTAATTTTTTAAGAAAAATCGCCGATACATTATCTGAAAACAAATTTGTGTCATCAGCGTGTCAACATATTAAATTGGGACACTGCAACACAGCTCAACAAACAGCGTACAGTGTATTCACAATAATATTTCATATATTTATAGTTATATGGCATAATAAAATATAATGCAAAAATATCTTGTGACAAAAATTATTTTACATTTATATTGTAAAAAACAAAATAAAACATATTTTATGTTAATAAAATTAACTACTAAAATATACAGGATTCACAAGAAATGTAAATTATTTTTAATTCTCTAAGAATTGTCCTTTCAGAAGATTTGATGGGCGGTGGTCGTTTGGGCGAAGGTAATAATTTTTACCAAAAAAATAATAGTCCGTTTGGGCGAGTGAAATTATTTTTACCTGCGTGCAAAGTAAAAACCGGGTGACAGATAGGTACTGATGATATTATTGCAATATTGCTAATCGTTATTAATCACTATTATCGAAAATAAGATTAGGATTCAGACACGCTGTCCAAGTTGTACATACGAGTAATAACACTGTAGTGTGCTATGTGTAGTGTCTTGAATAATACTTTCATGTACAAATATTTAAAAATTAATTTTAACAATAATAGTCAGTTGTAAGTTTTTTTATTTTTTTACATTTATCTAAAATGGACTTAAAAATCGAACATATTTTAACTACGAAAAGAGGTAAAAGATGTATAGTTATCGAACAGTTCAAGTACACGGAATCAAATATAGCTGTAGACTCCTTATACTTTATATGATTTTTGACTTATTATTATTAATTATTCATATTTTATATAATTTTGTTTAATTAATTATTGAGTGTATATTATAATTTATAAGCATTTTTATACCGCTCAAACAGTATTTTTAATCGAATAATTCTCGCCCAAACGGTAGTTTTAGTTGATTAAACCCTCGCCCAAACGGACTATATTTTGGGTCGATTCGCCCAAACGGTCTACGCCTGATTTGATGTTTGTAGATAATAATTTGAAAAAGGTTAATTATTTAAATAAGTTCCATTAGTTAGTTTTTTATATGTACATATTATGTAGGTATTATTTAGTGTCTCCAACTTTATCTAATCGGGACTACATTTTAATTGATAATTACTTGTTGTGTATCCTTTATATTTAAGTTTATGATGAATATCAATTATAATAATGTAATGATATCATATATAACAGTGATTACTATACAATTTATAAAAAAGTAATCAAATTTGTTTTTTTTATAAATAATATTTTATTAATATAACATGTTCCCAATTTCATTCTTCACATTGATTTTTTTTTAGTAGTTGCATAGGCGTAATTTGGGGGGTGCTTGAGGGTGTTTAGCACCCCCAAATTTTTTTAATTAGAATAATCGAATTTTTATTGGTACCGTAGTTTGAGAACCGCTAATATATAGATTATGTTATATAAAAATACCTAGGTATATAATATAATATTATAGATTTATAGGTAATTTATTATTTATATCCAAACACAAAAAGATTTTATAGAACGATAAACGATAACGATTAAGGCATTACGCCGAAACGTCTATCAAGTATCAACTATAAATATCTCGCGATAGAAAGCGTGCCCGTAGCCCGTTACAGCTTATCAAGTTCTTTTGCTAATCAGTAATCTGGTAAATAGAAAACCCTTCTAAAAATAGAACACATACAATCAGTATTACCAAACTCTGGTAAGAATATTTAAAGATATTTTAATTTTAATACCAATTATTAATGGTTATACTTTTATCTCCTTAGGGCCGCGCCACACTAGAGCGGTTTTGACGCGCGGTAATTACGCGTTTTTACCGCGCGTCAAAAACGCTAGACGAAAACGCACTCCAAGTAATAGAGCGCGCCAAACTAGTGCGATTTTAACGCGCGTAACCGCGTGCCACCGCTGTATGCTACGGTTTTGCGTTTTTGTCACGCGTCAAAACAGCTCTAGTGTGGCGCGACCCTTAGGAACAAAATCTAAACGTATACGCCAAGAGCCACGGTCACTTGCAGAGTTATAATCTCAAGACTTTAACTGGCTCACAAGATAAGACAGAATGCAGAACAATTGGCAAAGAGCATCGGAAAATCATTTATTTTCAAATTGATGATGTTATTGTAAATTTAAAATACCGTTTTTCGGATGAAAGTTTAATTTTAGCTAACTCATTAGTCCAATTCTTAAAAATGGATTTTGAAAAAGGTTCAAATTTCATCAATTATTACAAGGTCAAGTTATTGAACATAACCTCGTTAATTGAATTTATAATTTATAATTATAAATACCTAACAAGTATATAAATTACCTTGTATATAATATATTATTGTTATTAATGTATTGTATGTTAATTTTGTGAATAAAATAATCATGTAAATAAGATAAAATTTCAGGATGTTGTAAATAATGATTTAACATCATTGAAAGCAGAAATGTTGCTGACAAAAAATAGTATACAAAATAGAAATTTAGATTTTGATATACTTGAAATTAAGAAAGTGGTGACCAAAGATGTTTTTCCAAACTTGTTTAAACTTATTCAAGTAGAATTAACTATTCCTATAAGCTCAGCTACATGCGAAAGGTCTTTTTTGTCTTTGTGCCGAATAAAGAATTGGCTTAGGACAAGCATCGAACTAGTGAAATTTACAGATTTGTCAATCATTAAAATAGAAAGAGAACTAAGTAATACAATTAACAAAAATAAAATAATTAATAATTTTGCATTATCTCAAAGATGTATATATTTAATATAAATTATAATATTTAAATCAAAATAAAAAGTATATTTACCTATACACTACATTGTTTTTTTTTTTTAGTGTTATTTTTATTATAAACTATTCCCCCCACGGGTCACTTTGGGCAACATAAATTTAGCACCCCCATAAATTTAGTCCAAATTACGCCTATGAGTAGTAGGCAATAATTGTTTAGAACTATGTTTAGAGTCATTTTTTTTAGCACAGATTAATAATCTTGCCAGTCCATACATGAGTGATAAAAACAATGCAAGTGATTGAACAATAACATAATGAGATATTGACATCCCAATCTCCAACCAACTTCCAGTATTTTTTATAAGAAATAAAAAATGAAGACCCATTATATTGGACATGGCTAACATCAAGGCAAACACATTGATTGGAGGTATCTAAAATTAAAACAAATATCATAATCACTTAATCAACTATCTCTAATAAAAAAATAAAAATAATAATAATAACCAACCTTTAATTTAACACTTGTAAGGTAAAATGTACAACATGTCAATAAAATAGGGGTAAGTATTTTAAATAAGACCAATCCCATAATAATAAATGGAGAAAATACTGAGACAAAACATCGTCCAATTGAAGGATCAAATGAATTAATAGATGCAATATTTCCAGTACCAAAAAAAGATCCAAAACTAAATAATAACTACAAAGATTGTTAGATTATTTAAAACATAATAACTTTAACGATAAATACTAATATGATTTTTGCTTACGAAACAGAATGCATGTCTCCATTGGGTCCATAGAGCTTTATTAGAGTCTTTAGATTTAAGCACAATTTTTCGCCAACATGCTAATGTTATTACTAGAACAAGAACGAATAATACTTCAAATTTTAATGATAGTTGAATGTACGGAACACCAATTGATAAAAGTACTGTTGTTTTATTTGATAGGAGATCTGACGTTTTTCTGATTAAAAACATCGATAAAACTAAAAAAAAAAATTAAGATTATCAAAAGAAATTTTTAAAAATAATAATTTATAACATAATAGTTTATTACTTGATACTGTCCAAGAAACCACCTTGTTTAATGATGATAAACCTTGTTTGTTTTCTATACTACTTGACACAATCATAACATTTGCAATCGCTATAGCTAACAATAATACTTGTAAAAGTGTAAAAATTTTACGTACTCCATTTTGAAGCTTATAGTGTACAAATCCTGCTAATAGCCAAATAATTGCACCTAATAAACTGGAGTAAACAGTTTCTATTAAATATTATTCAAAGGATATTTATTTATATTCTAAGTATTTACACATAAGTTATATTTGCATGACCATCAATAATTATTACTGTCGGGAAAGAAGCAAATAATGCAGAAGAACAAAATACTATTGCTATTTGACTAGGTAGAAATCGTTGTTTTATTGAACAGATAGTCATCCAAAAGCACAGTATAGCTAAGGCTAGAGTTAGTATGCGACGTTCAAAAAATGTCCACACCTATGATTAAAAAAAACCATTGTTAATTGTAAGTTTATCTACTTTGAATATTTTTAATTTACCAGTAGTTCAATGCCAATTAAATAAAATAATATTTCAAGCAATGTTAATCCTTTAATTTGCAGTATCTTCTGTGTCATACCCATACGTGATAAATTAAATATCTGTAAAATCCTAGTAATACACATACGCCAGAGTATTAATGGCATAAATATATACACATAAAATTGCATTGGAAGGGATTGGGCTATAATAGAATCAATTATTTTAAAATTATTTGATTTATTAATATTATTATGTTGAAATGTATTAACACGTATTAAAGAAAATATTTACCATTAATTAAAAATGAAAAACACACAGCAACTATCAAAAATATTCCATTGATTAAAAACTTATGAAACCTATTAATTTTTCGACACTTTTTGATAGAATTGGTTTCGAGTATAAGTAAAGTAATCCAACCAAGACTAATAAATGTTACACAAATTAGAAGTGGTAATTTGTAATATGTATTGTAGTAATGAATTCCTTGTAAACTTAAATTAATCCACTCATAGCATAGCTTTATCTATAAAACAATTATTAATCTTTAATATAATTAATAATTATTACCAATTTTATTAAATTTGAAAACAATTTACACATTCGTCAGTTTTTGAGAGCTTAATAAGTGTTGTAATATCTTGAAGATATTTATCCTGAACACTAGTACTGAGTGGTTCATAGGGCAAATAAAATAATTTAAATAATTGCTGTTCAATTTTTACACGTGCAGTTGAAAAAGCAGCATTTATTTGTAGCGCATTAGCCAGAAGATATTTAGCTTGAGCTTTAGCATCAGTGTTAAATAAATTTAGAGGTAAAATACCCTAAAAAATGTATAATAAATTATGACAAAAATATTTTTTAAATTTTTAAACA